GAACGACCATTTAACCTAGAAAATGGGTTATAAAGATCTGATTGACTGACAAAAACATACTTCTTGTCGCGAGATCAAATCCATGACTTAAATAGAAAACAGACCACGTGTTCTAAAGTGTTGTTAGACCACTGGGCCACCCCACTCCACTGATCAGTTACTGAGAAACATTTTAGTTTCTTATTTGTGTAATAACTTCTCTTTAACTACAAAAACATTGAAGTACAGAAGAAAATGATTAGAAATGTTTTAAGTGGCTGTGTTGAAGTGATCGTGAATAGAGAAACTTGTCCTCGGGTACAATATTGGCAGCCTCTCAAGCTAACCGAATGTTGTTTTTTTTTTTTACTTGATGATAAACTGTTCAGTATTTTCTCTAGTTTAATAGTACGGTATATTAATAGAAATGATTGAAACTAAAATAGTAAGTTTATACTTTATATACTTCAACACCTACTAGGAAATACATAAAAAATATACATATCCAAGTTTATATCTACATTTGCACACGACGTTGAATTAATGTGTTGTTGAGGTGTAATATGCCCAAGTAGATTTATATAACGTACTTCACAAATTGTTGATAGTCTTGGCTTGAAAACCCTTTTTAAAACTTTTTAATTTACTTCCCCTGAATCATTAGAAATATGTAAAAAGAAATATTTGTCGTATATCTCGTTCTAAAAATGGAAAACTGCGTGCCAGCTATAGAGTCTGTTTACCAACTAAATTTTTCTATTAAACTGGAAAGTGTATCGTGAACAGCATTAGGTACGACAATACTCATTATTTATTGATGCAATAATATTCATTTTAAAGTGATTGCTAATTTTAAATCAAAACAAAATTTACTTACAGAACGCCTCTATGCAATATTGTAATAGAAGCACAAGGAGATATTTTCATTGTTTAAATCAAACGAATATAAGTTCAGAAAAAAATGTTATTCCGATTAAAATAAAATTAAGGTTAAATAATGTCTTGGCGTCGATATTAATGGTTACAATTCAAAATTTTGTCTCATACCCTTGATCGAACTCAGCAGAAACTAAACTAAATTCGTTGGATCATTATTTTTTTCTTAAGCGTATCTTTGATTGTGTATTGTGGTTTTTATTTCAGCGTATTGTCTCTTTAATATTTTAATAGAAAAAAAATTGCTAGACTAGTTCAAGTTAATCACCGACTTGTGTAACTATATTACTACTTGCTTTTTAAATTAAAATTTTAGGTCATCCAAGAAATAAAAATTAGAGAATTAGATTTTTTATTAATTTGGGTAACTCAACTTTGAAATGTAATAAGAGTCATAAAAGAGCATCGTTCGGCACGCCCGACATCAATTTAATTGCAAAGGAGATTTTAAATGCTCTGATTTACCACTTGGCAATAAAAGAAGGGATGTGATACGAGTGCTATGTGAAACCGGCCCACTTGGCGATTTTAAAACCAATATTGCAGCAATCAACCCAGGAGAAATTTCACAATCTACAATATTATATGAACTTTCTTACAAATAAATGGTCTTAAAGAATAAATACAATTGGTAAAGACTTCCCACAAAGGATAAATATCGGGCAACCGTGTCGTAGAACAATGGCAATTGTACATGGATTCTACTCTAACAATCACTGTCAATTTGCTTCATCCATTTTTAAAGAAGTGGGCGTGTGGAGTCTGAAGAATCTGTCCTGACTCATCATTGGTGTTATTTTTATCAGACAATACAACAAAGATAATATTGAATAACTTATAGAAGTGATAATCATTTTATGATATGAAGTTTAAAACAATGTGATTTCGCAGCCTTAAAAATTAAATGTTTGATTGAGGGGTCTATTGCATTTATCTACCAAAGGTCACCCGGGCAACTCGCCGAATAACGTCTACAACACATGGTCTAATTCAACAGAAACATGCCTACACAAAATGATCCTGCAATGAATGTATAATAATTGTGCCATTTATCTATAGCTGGATGTCCGAGATAATTGGTCATTGAATTTATGGACAGACTTAAATAAACATTTTGTCAGAAGGTTAAGTGATTTGGCTTAAAGACCGATACTGGTCTGCAATAATTGTTTACAAAATATGGCGCTGCCATATTTAATAAGGGAGCCACGGTGGCTCAGTGGGCAAGACGTTGGCTCACAAAGCTAGAGGTTCCGGGTTGTCAGTGGTGCAGGACGGAGGGCCTTGTAAGGGACAACGTATGGCGTGCACGTGCAAGATCTCTTGACAGTTGGAATTCGATATAAGAGTAGGCCGTAGCGCCGCTGTCGGGGCAAAATTTCCCTCATATTACACTGTATGGCGTTTGCCCGACTTCATTAGCGCAGAAGACGTTAAACCCCATTTCATTTCATATTTAATAAACCACAAGAATTATTCTTAATAGAGACTTTATAGAGACTTCCTGGTCCGTATCGCGTATAGTTAATCATGATAAAGACTGGAATTTTATCATTATGTTTGATGAGCTTTTCGCGGAATTTTCATATTTTTCCTGTCTGTCTGCATGTTGGTTAATCTACGTGCTAAATTTAGGGAGGTGGGACCTTGCAATGCTGTGAACGGGGTATATACTTTAAAGGACAATATTGGTGCCAGTCATTATCACATATGTGATAGAACTGATTAAATACATTCCAAATATAATTTTAACAGAGAGATCAGTGCTACGATAGCTGAGTAATACAGGATTCGCGAATCGGAAGTGACGAACGCCAAAGGAAAACACGGGACATACCTCTATATAACTGGCTGAAGTGCCGACTGATAACAGACACATGGGCGAATTTCTGCTCACTAATAATTCCTTCGAAGACCAAAAGTTATGGGACTGTAAGAGGATAGCTGACAATTCAATACAGTAATTGAATGTCTTTAGATAAGAGAACACAAGAAAAATAGAAATAGTCCGTACATTCCCTTGTTTATATTCATTCTATAGGCGAGAGCGGGTCTAGTTCGCACCATTTTTAATGAAACCAACATATCTCGATAACTTTTGAAGCTACGTTACCGTAGACCAGTGATTCCCAACCAGTGTGCCGCGGCACACAGGTGTGCCGTGAGATCTTCCTGTGTGTCCCGTTTAGTTTGAGCCATACTATATGTCTATGACTAGTCTGTGGCTACAGTTGTATGCCGTCTATGATTTGCCATGTTTTTTATTTTGCAAAAAAATCAAATATTTTTCATATATATTAAGTCGGGTGTGTCGCTGTGTTTTCATGTGTTTCAAGGTGTGCCGCTTGCACAAAAAGGTTGAGAACCACTGCCGCAGACCATACTAGATTAAAGACAGTGGAGTTGGCTAATTTACGGCATACATTAAAAAGTTTTATTGACAGGCGTATACAAGTAATTTCATCTCAAAGTCACCATGTCCGAATGGGCGAACATCAAGCCTCGGCTGTATGACAGTAAGTGATATGTACCTACGCCCATACAATTGAGATGCGGCACCGTTTACTTATGCCCCCGTCAGACGGGGTGGCATCCTTATACTGCGCTGCTGCGACCGTACGGCGACCAGAAAATGCGCAAGGTCGCCGGCAAACGTGAACACAACGCGCGAAAATGTCCCCAAAAACTACAAACTTGAAAAAAAAGTCGTATACTCATAGTTTTACAGTTCAGATCGCAGAACCTTGGCGTTTGCTTTGAACACGCTCAAAATAAACGCGGTAACTCGGCGATCATTGGCTACCATGGTGACTACAGCACGATAGCTGGCGTTTCCACTACGCTTATGGCGATCTTAACGCGCTCTAAAACTATTTTCCAAAGCCGTAGCAGCGAAGTAAGGACGCTACCCCGGTCTGACGGGGGTATTATTAGGAAAACGTGCTGCTTTTAGAAAGAAGTTCTCAAAACTGCGTCGTCCGAAGCGTATGTATACTTTTCAGTTCAAACTGATCCGTGTCTAAAGGAAATAGGATAAACTTGAAAGAAAAACAGCCTCAGACTTTGAAATCTTTGTATGGTAAAACATTCTTTAAATGCGTCGTCATGGGCAACGGCGTTGGTAATCAGGAACTTGAAAGTAGTCCCAATGGTGGACTTCGTCATACAGCCGAGGCTAGATGTAGGGTACTGGAATCTGCTGAGGTTTGGCCGAGTGGGCGCGAGATATGAATGGGGTCGGACTTAACCCCTTATAAAAATATGGTAATGCACGGACTTTTTTTCTGTTTTTCTTTCGTGTTCTCTTATCTACTGGCAGTCAATTCTTTTTATAAATTGTTAGATATCCTCTCACAGTCCCACACAACAACTTTTAGTCTTCGAAGGAATTATTAGTGAGCAGAAATTCGCCCATGTATCTGTTATCAGTCGGCACTTCAGCCAGTTATATAGAGGTATGTCTCGTGTTTTCCTTTGGCGTTCGTCACTTCCGATTCAGGAATCCTGTATAACTCAGCTATCGTAGCAATGATCTCTGATTTAAAATTATATTTGGAACGTTTTTAATTAGTTCTATCACATACGTGATAATGACTGCCACCAATATTGTCCTGGTACATTAGTAAAATCAGAAATTGCTGTCGAGTCGAAGTCGAAGATCTTTAATAAGATTTGACACTAAATTTTCTTTAAATTTTAAATAGCTCGGCGACTGTCGAACGAATTTACTCCCTTCAGGAATCTGTAGGCTAGGCACTTGACTTAGTACTGATGTTGTTCTTGGTAAATAACTGCCATCATGCTGTAATAGAATAAGCTCAGCTCGGCTACCCATACGTAAACGGGGCGAAAATCTGTAACAATTCTGAAACTACATTGACGCCATGTTATACGGATAGGTGATACGGATGGGAAAAATTCACCTGCCAAAAGTCTCTAATATCATATCGTCTCTGAAGTATCATTATTTGTCAATTACCTACCAGAACATATTTTGTTTCAAATCGTACATGTATGCTGTAAAAGTATTAATATATGAAAATATTTGTGTTTTCAGACAGTTGAAATATACAAGAATGTCTTACCGTATGGTGATCTATAATTATTTCTACTATAAGAAGCTCGTGGATATGATCGTACAGGAGGCAAATAAAGACCATAAGCTGATATTAACAATCCCAGTAACACAAGGCACGAGTGACGATATACGCTCTGTAGCATAGCTGAAAATATAATAACAATATTGATAATTATATCATATCACCTGTAGCACAGCTGAGACAATAATAGCACTAATAATAATTACCGTACGCATTGTAAGATAGCTGACTATATAGTAACAATACTGATATTGGTCATGTATACCCTATAGCATAGTTGGAAATATAACACTATTGATAATTTCGGTACGCTTTGTAGCTTAGCTGAATATATAGTAACAATACTGATAACAATACTGTAGCATCATTGACAACATACTAGCAATATTGATATTGATGATACACATCTTATAGCATAAATGAAAATATATCACTTTTCATAATTTAGGAACGCTTTGTAACATAGCTAAATATATAATACCAATATTGACAACATAATAGATAGTGATAATAGTTTGTTAACAAAATGTTCTTCTTTCTTTTTCTATAATACATGTATAACAATTTGTAAATGAAGATATGCATCTTGTAGCATATCCAAAATATAAAATAACTTATTTGTTAATAACAATATACGCATTAAGTATTGTTGGGTATAAAATAACCAATTTGTTTATTACGATCTGTTGACAACAACATACCACGTTGGTTAATCATGATATACGCACTATAACAAACCGGAATTTACTAATGATAGTAAATATCCAATTTGTTTATTACGATATAGCTGACAAGATCATAACACGTTGGTTAATGATGATATGCGCTCTATGCAATATCATTTGGGATCTAAATTTTAATATTGTATTTTGAATTCATATTTTAATTTATATTTTTCATGTGTAACTCATTTTGGACATGTGACAGATTAGTTGTAAAATTTAATCTGCATCAGTTGTGGGGTGTTGACATAATATTATGTAAGATGTAATGGGTTTGTCAAACATGTATACTCGGAGTGTCTATATGATTTAATATTTAGGCTTAACACGTATCGACACCTTTTGTCTAAAGATAGATGTGTGACTCTTAATAATTAGTTTTCATTGTTCTGATTACTATGGCGTGCCTATCTGACGCGACAGATATTGCTGCACCTTATAAAAAGCCTAGTTGAGAATCAGACGGGGGCAGACCCGGAGAGAGACGGGAGAGGCCCTGCGAGGCCTAGGGGAAGCAGCTATAGATAGACGTTACTATACCCAACCAAATGATGTTCATATGTAGAATTGTACCTGTAAATATGTTATCCAGTATTAAAATATCTTTTTAATAAATAAGAGTTATGTATTGTAGCACAATACTGTGTCGGTGAGTCTTAAAACATGAGAGATATGTGACTCTACAGATGGAATGTAATTTACAAATGAAATTTGTGTTGATTTTTTGCCATCATTTTTAAACAAGCCGCGATGAAGATAAATAATATATGTATAATAGTGATAATCATCTTTGTATTGTTGTCAATATTTGTCAGTATTTGAATTCATGGAATGTTTACATTTAGAATCAATGAAATCAATAGAAGCTTCCAATAAAACCACATCAAATAAATTTATGATATTTTTCATGTAAATATTCTTTATTAATATCAGAGTGGAAATCACTAAAAAGACAAGGACACATGTTTAATATTTTACAAGATTAAAGGGACGCTTTAATTAAAAGCTCTGGAAAATTTCCGACGCGTTTAATGGCATATCGAATATAAATAAGGACATTGATCTAAAGACCTTGCATAGATTCAGACGATGATACTTTATGGGCATGAGCTGGGAGTGACGCGTTCCTTCCCGCAATATCAGGTGGGTTCCGTTTGGCGGGGTGACAATACCGTCTCGCCAACCCGGACCCACGGTGGTTAAGTGGGTAAGACGCTGGCTCGCTAGCCTGGAGGTCGCGTGTTGATCCCTGCATTGACCGAAAAAGTTCATTGGGATTTTCGGACGTGGCTTCCCCTTGTCAGTGGTGCCAGATGGAAGGCCTGACAAGGACAGCTGTTTAGTCGTTCGGATGGTACGAAAACCCGAGGATCCGTGTATACATTGGTGTGCACGTAAAAGGTCCCTTGGCAGTTGGAATTCGATAAAAGAGTAGGCCATATAGTGCCGCTGCCCAGGAAAAATTTCCCTCATAGGACAATGTATGGCGTATGCCCGTCCTCATTAGCCCGGAGCAGAACAGTAGGACGTTAAACCCCATTTCATTTCATGTCTCGTGCGATATATTGGTATTTTCAAGAAAATACCCACTTCCCCTTACCCGGATCTGGCTTCGAGGTGACAATACGGTCTCATCAACCCCTCTTGGGGTATATTTGGTGTTTTCTCGCAATAACCAAGCTACGCACCTCCCCAGACTCGGACCTGGCTTCCTTCGCCGTTGTCAGGTCAATCTGCTAAAGAGCACCCGCTCACCACCACCTATTAACAATATAACATTCTGTCAATTGAGAAGTGTCGTCCGGTCTTAGGCTTATAGTGTGCCAGGTTGATCTCGACCTCGTTTCCGTATATGTTAATAAGTCACTTAATATCCTACATTTGCATATCAAAGTTAATGCTCTGCGTAAGATTCTATGTAGAAAGCGTGAAGGACAAATGAGATGCGGCAGAGCGCAAATGTGAAATGTAACGTGACACGTAATGTAATGTAGACACGTAAAAAAAACCCTGCCTTTTCCAATAAAACATTTGTCATTTGACACATTACTATTGACGTTTTACACTTAACTTTGGCCTTAGAGGTATTTTGACTTCATCATTACCGTTTTTAGGACTTTGTACATTGTACTTTTTACATATAATCAATGGAAAAGACATTTTAGCAAAGCATTTAATATTGGCAGCGATACCTTTCCATACACAATGGTGCAAATTAATATACCAACTTTAATAAACCCTTTATTGACATTCCTTAAGTATGTGCAATAATTTATAACTTTAATAAAGTTCGTTAAATACAATTTCATGTATTTCATATTTCATAATTGGTTGCTGGATATAACGGACTAAAAGATTATATACGCACCTAGAAATTGTATTTGGTGCGTATTCATATTATCTAGAATATGAATCATACTTCAATCCTATCTATACTATAATTTCAACGCAGTAGCTTATCCTATAGATCACATCATTTGCCCCCAATTAACTATCAACACCATCCATTCTTATCGCCAAGGTTGTCAAACAGTTCAAATATCATTTTGAAGTTTATAATGCTTTGACCTCTCAAGAGGGCATTATTGTTATACCATTGTATTATTTGTGTTTTCTTTTTTGTCCGTATGAAGTTCTACGAAATACTTAAAGAGAAATGTAAGTACAAAATATTCTGATGGCTGGGAATCTAAGAATGGACGGGAAAGTAATAACTCCCGAAAACAATAGAAAGGTGACTGTAACGGGGCGTCTAAGGCGAGGATTGAACTGTTGCGCTGCGAATAATTAGTCGATGCAAGCGAATGTCCAATCTCCTGACTGTAAATGACGGTATACTATTCTATAGTATCTCCATCCTAAGCAAGAAGCTAAATTAATATATATTACAGTTGGAATTTCGGGTTGCGAAATTTCTCAAATAAGGTCCACCTCAATATTTGTTTGTATTTGTAAAGAATATTTAGAAAACATATAAGTTTTTAAGACGGCATGGCTTAAGAGTGTCCCCACCATTTAGAATATTATCATACTTACAAAAACTTTTTAAATAAATCATTGTCGGTCATATTTTTCTGTTTGAAAATGCTAAGGAAATGTAATTTCCCGGGGATCATCAATAAGGTGAACAAATCTAAAACAAACTTCCGGATCCAGATTGCTATCACCTTTTCTAAAACCGTTGTCCCATATATTTGATATAAAAGCATTGATAAGTTCACACTGTTTACTTCCTATAACACACCGTCTATTTACTGTTCGTTAAGTAATATATACTGTTGTTCTATGTTTTATTAAACAGTGGTTCAGCACTATCAAATATTACTACATGCATATATAGTATCAGAGAATATCAGTTCATTTACTCTAAAGTCTAAACAAACACTATTTCACATACTGCTAGTAATTAATGTGATCTGTTAAACAAATATCGTACTGTCACATTCAACATGCCTCGTACGAACATCGGCAGGGGACATGATCCGGAGAAAAGTTTTTATATACATCTCGGGCAAAATACAATATGCCGAAAGATGATTCTATCGGTACAATTATAATCATTTTATATCCCGTGTCAGCCAAAATAATCTATTTTTGTCACTATGAACAAACTTCTTAATCGTAGTTATTGAAAACTTACCTATGTATTTGAAATCGCCTCCGGTTAAACAAAATCCATTATACAATTGAATATTTCCGCGAATAAAAAAGTTCTCGCTTGGGAACTCAACCTACTTACTTGTATTTACATGGCACTCATCACGTGTTGGACGAAATCGATGAAAGCTGTTGTGGGGGTTGGTAGAGAGTTTGACGACCACGTGTTGAAATCAAAACAAAGCGCGATCTTTTCGGTCGTTTGAGATGGGGCAACGAAACATATCAACTGATACCTTATTGGTATACCGTTTCGATAGACACATTCACTTTTGTACGAAATGATCTATCCCGATCTTTTATTTTAGTATTTCCCGATGTTAACATTTGGGATGATTAATTGTACAGTGGATTTTATTTAATCGCAGGTGATTTCAAACATGCATAAATCTTTTAAAAATTATATTTATAGCACGGCTTCTCTGTAAGATTTCTGCTCGAACTAGCAAATGTGTGCATTGTGCTATAACATTGCAAATGTCAAGTTATTGCACGGTTAAGCTCCACCCAATGTATTAGAGCTAAAACAATCTGCTTATTCAAAGAAAAGTACAAAGGAAGATCTCATGTTTATGTTACGACTTCAGTTAAGCAGTTCATAGTGACAAAACAGATTGTGATACTCGCGTACAATTACAAAATGAAATGGATTTTAACATCTCACTGGGCTAATGAAGATGTGTATACGCCATTCAGCTAGCCAGGAGGTCGCGGGTTCACTCCCGGTGTTGGCCTGGAAAGTGC